TTTTTTTATATGTTCACAGACTACACACATCAACACTATCTCATTTTATACCTAATGTCTCATAACCTCAGAAAGAAACCCCGTACATACTAATATTCATTTCTCATTTCCCTCTCCCCCCAACCCTGGGCAAACACCAATTTATTTTCTGTCTCTGTGAAATTGTCTATTCTGGATATGTCCTTTAAATGGAATCATACAATATGTGGGGTTTTTTTTTTTGGTTTGCCTTTCACAGTGTTTTCATGATTTATCTATACCATGGCAGAATCAGTGCTCCATTCCTTTTCATGGCTAAATAATATTACATCCTATGGATATACCACATTTTTTTAGTCACTTCACTTGTTTGTGTACATTTTAAGTTTTTTCTACCTTTTGGCTATTAATAATCTTGCTAGGAATACACAAGTTTTTTTGTGTGTGTATGTTTCACTTAAGACTCTTAGGTATACACTCTATTTATTTATTTTAGTTGTAGATGAACACAGCACCTTTATTTTATTTATTTATTCTTATATGTGCTGAGAATTGAACCCAGTGTGAGGTACTCCACCACTGAGCCACAGCCCTAACCTCAAGACATATGCTCTTAAATGGAATTGCGGTATATATGTTAACTGTCTGCTGAGCTTTTTGAGGAACTGTTAGCCTGTTTTCCAGTGTCACTGTATCGTTTTACATCCCCAACAGCACTTTTTATTTTTTTTATTTTTAATTTTTATTTTAAATATTTGTTTATTTTTTTTAGTTTTCGGCGGACACAACATCTTTGTTGGTATATGGTGCTGAGGATCGAACCCGGGCCGCAAGCATGCCAGGCGAGCGCGCTACCACTTGAGCCACATCCCCAGCCCACAACAGCACTTTTTAAAAGTTCCAATTTCTCCACATGCTCAGCAACATTTGTTCTTTTTTTTTTTTTGACTACAGCCATTCTAGTGAGTGTGACTTGGTGTCTCACAATAGTTTTGATTTGCATTCCCTCAGTGGTAATTGAAGTTGAGCATCCTTTTATGTGCTTATTGTCCTTTTGTATTTTCTTTGGAGAAGTCCTTTCAAAACTATTGCCTATTTTTAAATTGAGTTATTTGTCATTTTTACCATTTGATTGTAAGAGTTCTTTATCCTTTTTTAAAAATTTATTTATTTTTCATTTGTTTTAATTAGTTACATATGACAGTACAATGATCTTGACATATCAGATGGGGTATAATTTCTCATTTTTCTGACTGTACAGGTTGCCGAATCACATTGGTCATGCAGTCACGTATATACATACAGCAATAATAATATCTATTTTATTCTGCTGTCTTAATACAAGTATCCCAGATATATGATTTGCCAGTATTTTGTCTTATTTTGTGGGTTTTCTCTTTCCTTCCTTTCTTTCTTTCTGATGTTCAAAGCCAATCATTTATCTATTTTATTATTTGTTTATGTATTTTGCAATGCTGGGGATCAAACCCAGGACCTTAAGCATGCTGGGCAAGCCCTTTACCATTGAACTATACCCCAGCCTGTCTTTTTTCTTTCTTAATGATAATCTTTGAAACATAAATATTTTTAATTTTGATGAAGCCTAATGTGTCTTTTTTTTCTTTTGTCATTCTATGCTTTTGGTATCATAACTAAGAAAACCATTGCCTAGCCCCAAATCGTGAAAGTTTACTTCATTTTTTTTTCCCGTTTTATAGTTTTAGCTCTTATATTATTAGGTCTTTGAGTTAATTTTTATGTATGATGTGAAGTAGGGATCCACTTTTATTCTGTTGTCTCAGCATCATTTCTTGAAAAGACTATTATTTTCTCATTGATTGCCTTAATACCCTGTTGCAAATTACTTGACCATGAATATAAATGTTTGTTTCTGGATTCTTCATTCATGTTTGCTTGTTTTCTCATGTTACCACATTAATCTGTACTTAGCTTTTTTTGAGGTGAATGCTTCCAAAGCTGGGTTTTCATCCCATTTCTGCTGGTGGAGCATAGTCATTGGCTACCATATTATGGGAATGAAACTCCTTTGCTTGTTTTTTAAGGTCTGTCAACTAGCCCTGCTGAGCTCTACATGCATATTGTTCTCCATTCCTTACTCAATTCCTTTTTTCTAATCAGGCCTTTTTCTTTTTCAGGGAGCAGAGGGTGCCAGGGATTGAATTCAAGGGCACTAAACCACTGGCCACATCCCCAGCCCTATTTTGTATCTTATTTAGAGACAGGGTCTCACTGAGTTGCTTACTGCCTTGCTGTTGCTGAGGCTGGCTTTGAACCTGATCCTCTTGCCTCAGCCTCCTCAGGCGCTGGGATTACAGGCGTGCGCCACTGCACCCAGCTAGGCCTTTTTCTTTTATTCTAGTCATATCCTTATTCCCATCTTGTGTCTTGCTTCTCCATTGTCAGTAACCCTTCCAGTTCTTTGGCCAATTTAAATTTTAACACTTCCTCAGCATATTTAGAGCCTTATTAAAGACACAACTTATAATACATCCTTTCCTTTCAGGTGGTTTCTTAACTATATCATTATTTTTCCCTCTTAATGCAGACCTTGTTTTAGTTGTTGGAGCATCTGTACCATTCAAGATCCTGTGCTTACTGTTGTTATATAACTGCCATTATGTAGTATTTCTTCCTGTGTATCATATAAATTTTCTTAGAGACAAAGTAAACCTTTTGCAGGGTTGACTATGAAATTAATTTTAGTATATAGGAATCTGTAATCTCTTAAAATTTGGGGGGCCAGATATATTTGGGAAATTAGGTTACTTTTTGATTATAGAAGAATAATAAGCTACATATTGTAATGAAAATGGCCTTTATAACTTGATACTTCAACAACTTAGAAGGGTCTGGGATAGCAGTTTGTAAGCAAATTCACTAAAAAATTTTGCTGTTAAACATATTTTTCAGTGGGGTTAAGGGCGGATCTTATAAAGATTTCTATTTCTATAGCAAAAAAATTATTCACACTAAAATGTGATAAAGACTATAAATAGTCATATATCTGTTTTAAGTCAGATGTGATTTTGCTGCCAAATAAGATGTAATGAAAATTAGTTTAGATAGGATTTTAAGTTTTAGAATTGTGATTGGTGGATTGTGGGGCTTCACTGATTCCAAGTATACTTTTCTAATTGCAGAGCTGGAAAATGTCTTTCCTCTATTGTTCATTACTCTGAGCTGGTCTCCACTCCTCTTCCTGGGCTGTTAGCTCCAGCATCTTCTTTCTACCCATTCATCCCCTATACCATTTCCCTCATCTCACTACTCCTTCCCTGGGCCTCTGTGGGTCTACTGTTTATGTTTCTGGTGTGTTTTTGAGAAACAGATATTTTTTCAAATTTCTAAAATCTCAAAATCCTTGCAGAGAGGGTATGATAGTAACATATTTACTGAAGAGCTTGGAAAGGAAGCATTTCACTTCTTTCTGTGATCTCATCTCTCAGGGAATGCTTATGCATAGTAAAGACCCAGCTGTATTCTGTTTCTCTGTATGCACTTCCAGTTTGAAGATAAGGTTAGACCATACCACATATGACTGACAATACATTAAGTGCCACACTTCGGTTTTCTGTTTTATCCTCTCTATTGTGATTGGACAAAAGCAACATTGATTAAACAAAATGATGAAAAAATGGATGCCAGTTTGAATTTATGAAATTAGAAATTAAGCTTTAGATGGAGGTTCTTAATTACTAGGAGAAAAAAACAATTATTAAAATTTGAAGCTAAGGAGCTCAGTTGATAGAGTGCTTGCCTTGCATGCACAAGGCCCTGGATTCATTCCCCAACACCACAAAAAATTTTTTTTGAAGTTAATGAACTTTGACCCTTTTGGCATATAGAGAATACTCTAGATTTTCATGAAACAGCTTTTGTTAAGGAAGATAGTTACCCAAGGGGATAAACGTTTATAGTTCTCCAAAAATTGTGACTGTTTTTCTCGGCACTGAGTTGGACCCCTGTTGCCCACTTAGCCTAAGTGTTCTGCCCATCAGTCTTCACCATGGCAGGGTGCTGATAAGCTCAGTGGTGTGTCAAAGTTTCCTAGTCATTACATATTGTACCTTTTGAGTGCTTATGTATTTTTTTTTTGAGAGAGAGAGAGAATTTTTTTAAAAAATATTTATTTAGTTAGTTTTAAGTGAACACTATCTATTTTTATGTGGTGTTGAGGATCGAACCTAGCGCCCCGCGCATGCCAGGCGAGCACGTTGCCGCTTGAGCAACATCCTCAGCCCGCTTATGTAGTTTTGAGTGCTAATGTCCTGTGCTCCTTATGAATGACCCTGGATAAGTTACTTTACTCTCTGGACCTTAACTTCCTCTTTTGAAATATGAAGAGATTGAAATGTGAGAGTCCCTTCATTCTCTAAGATCCTGTGATTCAACTGAATAATTTTTATTTGATGTAGAGAGGAATAGCAGTATCCACAACTGAAAAATTGCAGCATTCAACAACAAAATCTGCTTGGGCTTCTAGAGTTTATATTCTGGTATTTATGGGATTTGTGAGGGGACAAAGAGAATTTAGAGTAGATTTATTCAGTGCTACCATTCTTTCTTTCATATGCTCTTTAACATTTTGAGGGAAGTTACATCTGTGTTTATTTTATAGAAGAAAAATGTGCATCTCATGCTAAACAATCCTAAGCTAGACATCAAGCTTCTTTACCTGTCCTGAGCTCCTGAGGAGGATCTTGTCTGTGTATTGTGGTTTGGTCTCAGTTGGCACAGGATTCGGTATGCAGTGTAACTCTTCCTGTTCTGTTTTTTCAGCTTGGATTTACTTTTGGCAACGTGGTTGGAATGTATCTGGCTCAGAACTATGACGTAAGTGGCTGTCTTCATGTTTCATAGTGTCTTTTCTTTGTTGAGGTAAAGTGTACACTTTTGGGTAAATGAAATCTTAAGTCTGAGGAGAAAGTCCTGAATTTTATAGAAAGCTTTTCTACTGTTTTTTTTTTTTAAATTTACAGAAACATCTGTCCTCCACTATACCACAAGAGGGCAAAATCCCATCAGTTTAGGTGGTCTCGGGATGATCCTAAGTAGTTCTCCCTAGCCCAAGTATTATTAATTTGTTCTATGGAAAATCATGTGATAGGTGAGAATTTAAAAATTGATTGGATAATCTTTTCAGTCCTAACCCAGTAATAGAGATGACTGAAAATTTTGGAGATGGAACAAGGCAGTGTAACATGTTTAAGGACAGAGTTTGGTGAAGTGGGAAGTCATATTAGCCTTGCTTTATAGATGGGTAAGTTGAAAGCCAGAGGCATTTTAAAAAGACAAGCGAAAGAAAGATATTAACTTTTGATTTGTTTTGTAGTAAAGTTTTTCCCTTTGTCAACCTTCATTTGAGTCATCTGGCTTTCTAGACAGGGGCTTTACTGCTTTCTATCACATTTATTATTTACATATACAACTTTTACTTGGCATCAGATTGAGGGGACTAAGTGTGTGTTCAAAAAGAGAATCAGGGTCTGGCTTTCAGAGAGAACATTAACTTACAACCTCTGCTATTTTTTTGTATGTAGTTATGAGGCTAAGAAATACTGCTGTTGAGCAGATCTCCTTCATAGGAAAATAAAAACTTATAAAACCATCTTTGGAGAAAGAGAAGTAAAAGATTATTTATTAGGTAGATACAATAATCCTTACAATAACCATTTTTCTTTTTAAAGATACCAAACTTGGCTAAAAAACTTGAAGAGATTAAAAAGGATTTGGAAGCCAAGAAGAAACCCCCTAGTTCCTGATGCCCACTCCAGCCCTACGTTCTGGATACTCTGATTCTGCTGCCCCTGAGGGGCCTCCTGTACCATCTGATCCCAAAGCTTTTGTTTTCATCTTTTCATCTCCAGCCACAGCAATTTTCTTCTTTGATAGATCCAGTATTGCCTCAGAGCAAAAGTGGGGCCATAAGTTAAGAACTACCCTTTATGTGTCCAACAGCCTTGCCTCTTCCCCCCCCCCCTTCCTTCCAGCTGACTGGAATTATGGTGCTAGTTTAGCAAAGTCGCTTCTCCCCTGTTGTTTGGGATTTCTACTACCTTTTGTCAAAAGAAAAATTAGTGAGTTTTTTGAATAGCTGATCAGATACAAATAATGCTAATTTCATAGTTTTGCAGTTATAATGGGTGCTTGTTAAACATTTGTTATTAAATTTTGTTGTTTCAAAGTAATTAAAATTAATAATATCTAGAATTCAGTTTCTATTGAATTATCCATTTATTTTTACTGTTGTCAGGCAGCTCCATAGTTGATAATTCAACTAATAAATCAATTTGCTATTCATGAACTGAGACACTCTATTCTAAGACTCTTATCAGTAAATGGGGAATTAAAAAATATGAAAAGCAATGGTTTTTGTTCTAATGGCATTCACAGTCTATTTAGCCTGCATGTTTTTCCTTAATGATGTATTTCATCTGACTCTTTTTCCTGAAAAGAATCATTCTTGGGATTACAGGTACATTTGACATTTTATCATGGGTAAGTGTGAAATTGTTGATAAAGGAAATGCTAAGACTTTTTACATTAAAAGATATATTTACATTATAACTTCATAGTGCTTCTCCTAAGAAAAATGTAGTTCCACATATAATTTTTTTTTTTTTTTTT